TGGTCTTTTTTTCCGGCCTGTAAGAATGTTGGTTCATTCGCAACGTCTCGCACTTCGGCGCATTGTGCCGCGAAATCGAGTAAGGAATGGCGTGGAAGGTTGCTGGTTGCATATCGGAGCACGACGATCGATTTGAAATGCCTAGCTCGGAAATTCGTTGGAAAACTTATCACGTTTCGCAGGCTGCGATTTAATTGCACAAGTTGTGAATGGGCCCGTGAGATGCATAGAAGGAGATCGAATCGAACACAAGTGACCGCATTGGCCATTGGTTGGCCACAAGCATTTCGTTTGTGGAAGTCAGACACCTGTTTGTATCGAATAAACGCTTCCTCGCGGATGCGAGTAAGTTATCATTAACACTGACTAATTATACGGAATGTAAATAAATGGCTTTTTATCAGTGAAGCTAGTAAAAGCAACATTATATTAGCAATAATTCTCCGATGCTGACTTTAATAACGATAAAATTTAATATAATCTATATCTGATATTCTTATCGTACATAAATTTGTTGCATTTTATTCAACTTGTAAGATTACTTGTACACACACACAAATGGTATAAATATACAAAATTTATTCAGTTATTTTAAATTTTATGAACATTTTACGTAAGATGAATTTAGAACTGAAAATTGAATAGTGCATTAGTTTCTGTGGGAAACAAACTAATAGTAATTACATTAATATTATAACTTCTCACTCAACAATGTAAATGTAATATAATACATATTGTACATAATAATTACATAGTTAAATAGGAAATTGTAACATTGATATAATATTACTAGTTAGTTTGTATTCTCTCTGTGTTACTTTTTACATAAAAACGTGTTTAAATTACATATATATCATATCTTTCGAAAATTCTAACTAATAATCGAACAATTGTGCAAACCATTTTGTGCCAGCATGAAAAGCTGCATGGTACTTGTAATTTATAATGACTTCTATAATATTATTATGTTCGTTTATTATGCAGATCTTATAAAGCTCGATCGATAGACTATGCGCAATACTTTGATGCACGTATTCCGCGACGACGTGCTGCAGACATCGTAACGGAATATTCGTGCGATGCAAACATTCCAGCAGGCGCGATCTGCATCTCATATCCGCCTGCATGATCCGACGTTGCGTCTAGTATCTAGTTTGCACGTGAATTACATTACAAATGCAGTTACAGAGACCAGTGGCTTCATATCTTATTTTATTCCCACGTTAATAGCCTTAAATGTGATTACAATAAGCTCAACAGTATCCTGACGACATAGGATTAGCTATATATCGTTATAGTTATATTATACAGATATTTCGCATATGTGTGTGTGTGTGTGTGTGTGTGTGTGTGTGTGTGTGTGTGTGTGTGTGTGTGTGTGTGTGTGTGTGTGTGTGTGTGTGTGTGTGTGTAGAATTCTTATGAAATTAGCACTCTTTTCAAAATTTCGATATAATTAATAAGATTCTGGCTTTAAGAATTCTAAAATTACTGATACATTTTTAAAACGAATTCTATTGCAATTGACTGTGAAAAATAAAAATCCAAATTTACGGCTATTTCATGTTTTTATCCGAAAATTGACTTATTAATATTTAGAAATACGAAATTATGAATGACGGAATTAATTGATTCTATCTTAATTTTAACAAGTTAATTAACTTTATAAATATTTTTTTTTCGTTTTTTGTTTTTTTCTTATTTGTCTTTACTAATTGTTAAAAATTTTCTCCTATAATTTACTTGATCAATAAATTGTATAAGTTTTTCAAAATCAAAATCTTTCACACATATTATTTTTATATATGAATTAAATTGATTATACCAAGATAGCTGCAGCGGTTCAGGTTGCCTCTTTATTTCGTATTTGATCACGACTCCACCTTTGATCAACTTCGAAATATTCGTTACGCTGACTTTCGCATACTGATAATATTCAATCCTGTGGTAGCAATGGGCGAAAAATTTCGGTCCGTTTAGAAGGAAAAAGGGAGGGCATAAACCAGCACCTTCGGTATTTAATAAACATTCCGCGAAAGCCGCAGTTTCGCTGGAACGCAGGAGGGGTGAGGAAGAGAGGAGAATTTGTCTTCCGTTTCCCTCTCCTCCCTAACTGGTTGCCTTTTTACACCGTATTTCCCCCGCGAAGGGAAAGGGCTTAAAATTTTCATTCGATTTCCGCGGGAAATCCGATCCGTCGTTGGCAACCGCGGGTATCCGGTCGCTAGGGGCTGCGAAATTAATTAAATCGTTAACTGCAGACGAGTTTGCCGTAGTCTGGACCGATATATTCAGTGCTCTTCTCATCCTTTCTGTTCTTGCCCGCGGCACGGACAACCTCTGGATACCAAATCTTGATATCCTGGTCTCAGTATATTTTTTTTGTTACTTTTCGGACGTTTCGGTTAGACACAACCTCTTAAATACGTCTCGTTAAACAGCAAAGAGGATAATTGTCACAGGAAATTTTTATCCGGATAGATTGAATTGATGTAGGAATTAAATTTTTTAAGCAAAAGGCTTTGTTTTAGAATTTACAGTTGCTTGAAAACTGGTATTTGCCGTGTCAACATCACTTCTATAAAATACCATAAAAATGATCGGGAAATAATTGGCATATAAAGTTATAACGTTATAACTTTTATTAATGAAAAAGTTTGTTAAAAAACTTTGTTAAAAAAGTTTGTTAAAAAAATATATTAAACTAATAATATTATCATTATTTAAATGTAATAATGAATTTCATAAGGCAATATATTTTATATTATCGTATAATTTATTAGTACAAGTCTTTATTATAAAAATAAATTGTTATTCTTATTATATTGTTTAAATGTAATAACGAATTTCAAAGCAGTATATTTTATATTATTAATATCTCTTATATTTCATTGTACAATAAGCATTACAAAATGTAGTCATGGCATTATTTGTCAGCATTATGGACCGTAATTATTTGCACATAAAGCGTATTGGTGATTTCCGGAAACACGATCATACGCAATTGTACCGTGAATTTGATATCAACTTCTATGGATACATTCCACACACTATAAATCGATGTATTCTCGATTTCAATTCGCTCTAGTATGGCTACGCATAGCTTGAAACACAGCATCGAATTCCTTTGATATCGCGCGAATTGGATAGCAACATTTGACAGGGAGCCACAATTTTCACATATTAATACTCGTCATGTTTAGCCCTCTTGTTGGCCGGCGAATTTGCATAGTTCGATATTAATATTAATACATTAGTCCACATTATTAGGGCACTGAAATATTAATTAATATGATGAGAGTTACTGTTGCATATCTAATACACGCAGCATTTATGCAAAAGTGAATACTCAGGAATGATAATATAAAGTCAGGTTTAATCTTTGTAACAAAAAAATTCACATATGCTAATAGATTGCACAAAACGAAATGTTATTATCATATGGATTTTATAATTACTGGGCAAATATTGATTCCTAAAATTTATTCGGATATATGTATACATATGTATTATATATATAAAATTATTAATTAAAGCATACAACTTCATTAATTCATAGTTTTGAGTATCAAACTTTTTAATAAAGATAAAAAAAATTGTATCCTGCATCGCCCGAGTTTAAAATAAAAATAAAAAAAAAAAACTTAAATTGTGTATAATATGTCGTAATTTCAACGCAAAATTTTGTTATTTCGATTTTTTTAATGTACACCATTCTCGCAGAATAAGCGGTGCATTAACACCGAGAATTGAATACACGTGATGAGAGAAGGGATAAGAGAAGCGAAGATAGACTCGAGAGATATATTCGAGTATTTTGCCTAGCCTATCCCCCGCGATGCCGAATTTACATAAGCGGCTTTTCTCTAGGTGAAGCTTTTCTCTCGGTCCTAAACAAATATTGATTAAGTCGCCTCTTCTAGTGGTCTGTACCATCGTCAAATGACCCATAGCTAGCCACTGTCCGCATTATCCGTAAACGCTTATTAAATGGTGGGCGAGATGGGAAATCATGATGTCACTTGTGACCTCGACTCGAGATGACGTGAGTTAAAGTTTAAGAATGTTATATCGAATAAAACACTCGTTTTTTTTTTTCAATTAATCGATAGTGATACTCGCAGCCGAGAATATTAGATGATAATTGTTAACCTTTAATCTGCAGAATATTAATTCTTCCTTCATTCATGACATAGAATATGTCACGAATGATAATAATTGGTCAAGAATGTCATTTATAAAAGTTTTAATGAGTTCGCTAACAAATTTAGATAACCAGAACTTGGTATAAAGAATAGAAAAATAGTTAGTTTTACGTAACGCTTGGTAAAAGAATTTTTTTCATGTTTAATATTCTAATTCTTTTGATGTTATGCAAACTCTATTACCATAATGGCACATATAAAGTGCTGATACTACTTGTGAAATAATCAATAATGATCCTGATTATTATAGTCATGATAAACATAAAAAATAGAAAGAAGAAAGATCTTTGAATTATCTTCGATAATTTAAGTGTACACACACACACACACACACACACACACACACACACACACACACACACACACACACACACACACACACACACACACACACACACACACACATATGTAACTATAGAAAAATATCAGTTAAGTGAACTATCTAATTATAAGAAGCGCAAAAAATTGAGTAATGCACTTAATTTATCTACTACGTAATTCTCCAGTAATAGTATTCTGTAATAGTATATGTTCTGTTAATGACAATTGACTATAGCTATGTTAATCATTCGATTACTCAGCCAGACATTTTCTCACTAACTAATTAAGTACAATCACATCAAGGATGAATAATCACATATTATCTTTAAGACAATCATCTTCCGGGTGCTATTATTAAATTATTAAGATCGTATATATTACTAACGAAATACGTCTGTTCACTTTTTATGATGATTCTATGATGACGCGATACTGCAAACAATTGCTAATGGAAATTATGTTTTATCATTACAGAGCGCAAACTGTTTGTTGGGATGCTATCAAAAAAATTCACAGAAAACGATGTTAGGAACATGTTTAGTGCTTACGGAATGATCGAGGAATGCTCGGTGCTGAGGGACAGCACCGGGAAAAGTAAAGCCTGTGCCTTCGTTACCTTCGCTAGTAAGCAGTATGCAATCAATGCCATCAAAGCTCTGCATCATTCTCAGACAATGGAGGTGAGTATAATTATAAACGAAGAAGACATTTTATATAATATTTTTAGATACAACCCTATACTTGAAAATTAAATAAAAATTTGATCCTAGTTATTAATCTTAAAATGATTGGAATTATTAATTTTGTAATTAATTACTATTCCTAATTTTGATGAATAAAAGTTATGGATTTTATATAATTAATGTAATTTAATCTATATATATCAAAGAATTGAAATTCTTGATGTCAGAAATTTCTAAGTTTTGCACGTAAAGCATACTAACTAGTGTTCAAATTATTAGATAGTTTACTACAACTTTAACAGCTTTACTATAACATCTTGATTAATAATCGCAATAACGTCATCTAATATTCTATCTCTTATAATAAGTTGAGAATGCAGTGGCAACTTTTCGTACAGGGATGATGCAGCTTTTGTAAGAATGTGACAGGTTTTATTTACTTCTTTTTATTTATTTCTTCAGTCGCATACCGTTTATTAATCTATCATTTAATGATAATTTCATCTTTTATTCTTCCACCATTGACTTTTTTGCATCGACATTTTCTACAATTAACTAAAAAATAATAATGAAAATTTCTTTGAAAAGTTGCTTGTGAAAATAATGAGCAATCCAATGAGGACATGCAATGAGGACTGCTCTCATATTTATGTTGCAAGAAAGAACTGGGTCGTGAGGACTCCAATCTTTTAAGCGGAGAAAACAGTGTCGGGAAAACTGGGGGGCAGATGACGACACAAAGCGGGTCGCATACAAAGTCTTCGTAGATCGTTTCTTTTCATGGCAATTCAACCGAGTCGTCGGATGTATTGGCTAGATGCCATTGTCACTCGACGAAACATCCATGTGTGCATTTACAATCCGCCTAGTCACCTTAGTGAAATATACCGATTTAACTCGGAGTAACTAAAACCGAGAGAGTAAAGACGACTGAACTGGTCGACACCTTGGCGATTCAAAGCTCGCCAAGCTTTTCTATTCTCCCTCCTTCTTTCATTGCTCCATTCTACTACTACTACAACTATCTGAGCTTTCGCAAACGCTAGAGAGAGAGAGAGAGAGAGAGAGAGAGAGAGAGAGAACGAGAAAGAGAATTGGATATAAATTATCGAATCTCCTTAGAACATCGCTTGAAAATCGTAAAAATCGATTGTCAATGTTATATTGCGGTATTATCTATTTATATGTTAAAAATATAACAATTAAATTATATGTTAAGAAGAATATTCTATCCCGCCCCTTTTGCTGTAATCTCTATAAAAATTTTGACAAGGAAACAATGAATTTTATATTGATTTACGATTTCTCAAAAATTTATAAATATTTTCTCTAGGTATAATTGATACTTTCTTAAATATTATATTTGATTATATTATTTAATTAATTTTTCACATAAATATGTTAACAATTTTTTTTCTGTGAATATTTTTGCGCTATTATTGATACATAATAACATTTTTTTTTTATTTTAAAGTGAAAGATAAAGTTTTCAGTTCATCTGTTTATATAATATCAAATATTTTAATTAATATCAAGATATTAATATCAAGATTTCCTTTAATGCGTCCTTGCGATATTCAGTTATTAAATATATAAGTTTGTTTCATTAATATAAGAAATACTCATTTAAATACTTAACAACTTCATTAATCACTTCACGAGATATATTTAGCGACGATACGCCTTTGCAATGTACTATTTCGATGGTAAACGCGAGTGTGCCAAGACATGCGGGCACGAAGGCAATTCCACTTTAATATCACGAATATTTCCGGCTGCAGGTTCTTCGAACTTGCTCATTCGTCACTACCGGCACAACCGGCACGCCGATTTCACGTCTCCAATTGCAGACGCATTGTACATAGTGCATCGACCTCGCGATTCGTGTGTATATCGTCTCGCGTACCATCGAATGAGTTTCTCTTTCCACCAATGTAGTACTCGATCGCCGGCAAATCTCGTTCTCACGCCAATGTTGAACTTGGACTTGAACCAATAATATACGCCGAATTCAGGTGTAAAACGATGCTCGGTACGAAATACGGCTTATGTTCTAAACTAACGAAAGGAATGTCAAATTATAGCAAAAGCTTGTTCAAGAATTTGGATTGACAGAAAACAAGGCATTATCACTAAAATATTAATACAGTGAGAGATATTAATACAGTGAGATTGAATATTTCTTAGAGTTTTAACAAAAATTAAATGAGAAAAATAATTATTTATTTATTTTCATTCAAATCGCAATCATTTTATCGATTATATTATTGAACATATTTGAAATATTTAATTGCTATTATGACACACAGCAAGATTTATTTTTATGGATTTTCTAATTCTTTTAAGATTGAATTGATAATAACACAAGAAAATAATATATAAACATAAGAATAATAACACAAAAATTTTTTATAGAAATTTTTGTATAGATCATTGGTTTAGATTATTCAATGAAAAACGTTTTTAAAACAATGACAGTCTATTAAATAATTCTATATAGTTTAAATATTTGTTACTGTGTGCATACGTTATATTTTTTTGTTCATAATTTTTATTTTGTCAAAATCTTAATTGTGACTCAACGTTGTTTATATTTCTTATATTTTATATATTGTTTATGCAGCATTAACGTATTGTGCAATTTTCAGGGCTGTTCGTCGCCATTAGTCGTAAAATTCGCCGATACACAAAAGGAAAAGGACCAGAAGAGGATGCAGCAACTTCAGTCGAATCTCTGGAATATCGCGGGAGTCAACATCACACCGCATTACCTAGCCGTACGTATACTTAATATTTTATAATAAAAGCTCTTTGGCTGATATCAAAGATTCCATTTGCATCGAGAACGAGAACTCTTCACGAGGCACTATCGTTTGAGCGCCTTACATTCGTATGCATTATCTATCCTTTGTGACTTTTTACATAGCAATCTCAATTTTGTTATGCAAAATATATTTAAAAAAAGAACTCAGACGTTTTTTTGAGGAATATGATCTGTATTCTTCGAACACGTATAGTGGCTACACCAAAGCTTTGTTTCTATTGAACGTTTCATGAGATTTGCATAAAGCTCTACAAGCGTATCCTTTGGCAAATTTGCGGTCAATTCTTTCTTAGTAGAAATTTTATAAAAAGCTTGATTAAAAGTTTAATGATATTTAAATTCTAGAAATAAAAGTTTTGTGTACTAATTATATTTAAATAATTTAATGACTTTTATGGTAGAAATTTAAAATGGGTAGTTTAAAATGGAATATTCTCAAATAATTTACAAAAATTTTGAAATAGATACGATGAATTTACTGAGATACTACAGCGACTGTGATTAATGATTATTATTCACATTTGTACTCATAGAACGATGCACATACTTTGGCGCCTGCATCGTTGCAGCTTCTGCAACAGTTGCAGGCGACGACGAGTGCCGCGACTCCGGTCGCTGCGAACGCGGGGGCGGCTAATGCACTGTCGAATGTACAACATCAGTTACTGTTACAACAACACCTTGGCCTTGGTGCGGCAACACCTGCGCACGCAGCACCCTCCGCTGTACCTAGTCCAGCAGAAATCAACCCTGCGAATTTGCAAAGTTTAGCCACTCTCGCGTCTCTGAGCAACACTGCTAGTGAGTATGGTTAGTGTCGATTATTAATTTTTTATTTACGCTTATTTGCGCTTATTTGATTTCCAATTTTCGTTGATAAGATTAGTTTTAAATAAGATTAGTAGAAATCCAATCTCTCTTGAAACGAGATTAAATATTTTCAACATAATGATGTTCAAAACATAAATTATTGAAATTATTATCCATCCTATTAATGTTATTCCAACGATCATTAAAAACTTTTATTGAATTATAGGTGAATGTTAATGTATGTACGTATATATATTGAAATTGATAAATAGTTATAATCTCTATTGTTTTGCGCTAGTTTATGTGAGTACTTATGTAATGACAGATTTACATGTTCTTTTACTTTTTTATTTTAAGATTGCAAGAAAATTCTGAAATATTATATTATGATATTTAAGAAAGTTGATAACATTTTTTATTTTGTTCTTTTTATGTGTATTACTGACATTTCTTATTTATATATTTTTTTGCACAAATATGGATTTTTATGATTAATAAAAGTGATTTTCGATTATATTCTTATAATACTCTTAAAAGTATTTTTAGTTTAGATAAGTTAAATTAAGATAAGATAATGTGTGATATATAAATGTAAATGCATTAACGACTGTATCTAATCATTAATGCACATTACAATTTACATTTATATATCACACATTACGTCAATTCTTTCACATTTCTAATATTAGTATGACTGACGTGTGCAATCTTTAAACTTATCCCTTTCAATATATAAGTTTAACTTCATCGCGTCACCTTTTGACCCTACTCTATAATGTTCCGATACTTATAGAAAACCTATTTTCATGAACAAGTTAAAAATGTAAATCTTGAGCACGGATAAATTTAAATATATAATTATATATAATTTCCTCTTGGGAGATAATTTATTTTTACTCAAAAATATTTCGATTGCGCACCATCAAATTTCGATGTAAAATATCATAGAATATGATCGATTCGCTTGGGCTAGCAAAATGGAACTTTATCCGTTTCTTCACTAAAATTACTCGCGCCAGTCATATCAGTGTCAGAATAAATTATATTATTTCACGCTTATATTCTCCAACTTCCACCGCGTATGATCGTGTCCCATGGGTCATATCTTTTCGAAAGTTATAACGAAACGTTCTGCACCAGTTTACCATGGCAATAATAAAAATAAAAATTCTTCGTTTAATGGGATCGGGAAAGATGCCAGGTTGATGATATACATACCTCAAAGCGAATCTATCATTAACTTTACTGTAACACATGTATTTATTAGTTATTGCTGTTGAACGTACGGTCATTTGATGACATTTCAGTGTCGCACGCAATGAGTTCATGTGTATACAAACTAAACACATAGAATGACGTATAATTTACAATCAATATACATGAAGAGAGAACTTAAAATATGAATAAAATAAAATAAATATTTAAGACGCTTGTACTTAACATATTAATATTAATGTTTTTAATTGCCAAAAAATCCACTAGAAGAATTAAAATTGTTTTATGTGCTCTTAAATTATTTCAAATTAAGCCAAATTTGGTTTTTTATTGCCAAAAAAAATTCCATTAGAAAAATTAAAACTGTTTTATGTGCTGTTAAATTATTTCAAATTAGACAAAATTTGATTTAAGTTCTTTTTTCAAATTATTAAATAGTACGCTATATTCTCATCATAATAAATCTAAAGAATTAAGGATTTCTACAATAAGTTCTGATATATTATGTTGCAGCAAATGCGGGTGTATCGCCAATGAGTATGCAGAATCTTGTCACTCTGGCAGCTATGACCGGCGGAAACGGCAATCTCCAAGTGTCGCCAAACAGTGAGTAGAGAATTTTGCGAGACGCATAATCGCAGAACACATTATCGTACATTAATGTACAGCTGTAGGTTCCGTGCGGAACTGTCCGATGCTTCGAATTATATACATAACTTCGGACCACATTATATTGTCCTTCTACCAATTGTACAAAACACCTGTATGCTTATGCGTCACGTATGTTACTTGCGGTAGACAGTAAATCCGCTTGAGCGTAGTTGGAGTTTAATGATTGCATGCGTTGTTAAAGTTCCAGACGAACGGGTGAACTGTCCACGCTTTTGTAGGTATGCATGGTAAAGCGGCCGAAGTCATGTCGCGATTATAATAACAGTAATAACGCAACTGCGTGTCTATATGTCTTTGCAAATTGTATTAACTTTAATCATAACGACGGTACTATAAGAGCAAAGTGTTTCAAAATATATACCTACAATTAAATAGTAAACAATTTGTTCTAGAAATCAGTCAAGAGAGAAAAAAATGTTTTATGAATGAATATCTAATCTCAATTTCACATTTACAAATTGCATTATGTTTTAAAAAATAGGAAATTTCGAAATAATATTTAGCAAATTTGGTTAATTAATTAAACGATGGTGCAATTAGTATTTTAATATGACATTTCAACAAAATTATCGGAATTATCTTGTTATATAAGTATCATTTTAATATCAATAACATCAATATTATCAGTAAGAATATAATATTCCGATTGTCTTATTTTAAAATATATCGTTTATATTTGTTGATTATTTCAAAGAAAACACTATACATACATTAGATTTAATTAATTACAAATAAACGAATAAAATTTACGAATCTGATTAATATAAGTACATTTTGAAAAATTCAAGTAATTTTTAAATTATTTATAAAATTATTTATAAAATTAACAATATATATTTAACTTGTATCTATATTTTTTAAATAATATATAAGTAAACTTAATTTAATTTATAGAAGAACTTGTCATATATTAAAAGTTATCTATTTTTACATTATACTCTAAAAATATTCAAATTTGTTGTTTGCTGTTTTTTTATTTATTAAGCAAATGAATTCTATGATTAAATCTAAATTACGAAAGAATGAATTAATCACTTTTTGTGTGATTTAAATATGATAATTAAATTGACCAAGATAGGATGATATTGATTGTATCCAAATTTTTAGTAATCTATATTATTACATTGTGTGTATATTGAATTGCATAAATGTAGAAAGCCAGATAAGATGTACGTTTCTGTAATTAATTATCTTTCACCTATATCAAGAAAACACATCTTCATTATTTTTCATGCTTACAACGCTTTTTGTATGATTTCATTTATGTAAAGTCAACAACAAAGTTAAATATGCAAGTTGCTTCATTACGTTTCATTCATAAAGAGGATGCTATTTGTACAGGAACGAGTTTTTCAAATAGTTATAATATCCAGTCGACAAAAATAGTAAATCTTAATATTGCAAAATGAAAGATCAGAAATGTGATTACAAGTATTTTCTTACATTTCTTTCAATAATTAATTTTATATTTAACTATGTATGTACATATATA